TTGGGTGGTTCCTCCTTTGGTGATTCCTCCTTGGGTGATTCTTCCTTTGGTGGCTGCTCCTTGGGTGGTTCCTCCTTTGGTGGCTCCTCTTTGGGTGGTTCCTCCTTTGGTGATTCCTCCTTGGGTGATTCTTCCTTTGGTGGCTCCTCCTTGGGTGGTTCCTCCTTTGGTGACTCCTCCTTGGGTGGTTCCTCCTTTGGTGGCTCCTCCTTGGGAGGTTGTTCCTTGGGTGGCTCCTCTTTTGGAGGTTGTTCCTTTTGTGGCTCCTCTTTGGGGGGTTGTTCCTCCTTGGGAGGTTCTTCTTTAGGGGGTTGTGGTTTGGGTGTAGAAGGTGTTGGAACCAATTCCGGTGATGGTTTTGGTGGTTGTTGCTTAGGTTGTGGAGGAGGTTGTTGCTTAGGTTGTGGAGGAGGTTGTTGTTTAGGTTGTTCTGGCTTTGGTGTCTTTGGCTTCTCAACTGGAGGCTGAGATGGTTTTGATGGTCCTTGTCCACCTCCACACTTTGCCTTACCGCAATCCACTGGTTTGCTAACAACAACTTGACATTCTTTTGCTGACTTTTGTTGAGGCCTATCTGGCAAGCAGTTGCTTATGTCATCAAACACAGCGTTCTTCCGAGAAGACGGTACACATTCTTGGGTCTCACCATTGAAGAAGTTATAAGAGAATGTGAAGTTCACTAAGTTTGGCAATGTGCATATACTCTCGGGAACAAACCCAGTTAGCATGTTGTGTGAAATATCCACCTCCTCCAACTTCTCTAGGCCTTTGAAAGTTTTGGACAAGATCCCACTGAATGTGTTTGATCTAATATCAAACACAGTCACCTTTGAGAGATATCCGATTTCAGGAGGCAAACACCCAGCAAACTTGTTGTTGGACAAGATGATCTCGTTCAAAGTGTTTACCATCTTTCCAATGCTGTTAGGGATGCAGCCCTCAAGATCATTGTTGGCGACCACAAGAACTGAGACAGGGGAGTTACCAAGCGTGTCAGGAATGGTGGATGTGAACCTGTTGTCGTTCAAGAACAGGCCATCCAATTTCTTGTTGAAGAGCTCAGGAGGCAATTTCCCCTCAAAATTATTAAACCTGAGGTCAAGATACTTGAGGTTTGGAATATGCAGGACAACTTCTGGGAACGATCCCACGAATCGGTTGTTGCTAACATCGAACTCGTGGAGAAGAGTTAGCCTAGAGAAGCTCTTGGGGATGATACCACAGAACCTGTTGGAGTTTATGTGGAACAAGGCGATGTCGGTCAACAGGCCTAATTCAACGGGAAGGTATCCTGCAATGTCGGCATGGTTGAGATCAATGCCAGCCACAACCTCTAATTCTGGGTCATCAAGAGCTTTTGCACAGAACACTCCAGTATAAGAGCAGACATTAGCACCAACCCAGTTCTCTGTTGTTTTAAGAGGGTCTGAGTACATGGCCTTTTTCCATGCTTGAAGTGCAATGTATGCACGTCTAAGCCTGGTGTTGGGAAAGTTCAGGTTCAACTCAACCTCAAATTCATAATGATCAGGAAGGTCACCGCCTTCAGGAAGGGCTAACAGCTGTCTACGTGCAATAGAGGACGCTTCGGCATCGGTTAGAGCAGAGGAGAAGGAAGAGAATGAAGAAAAGAAAAGAAAGAAAACTAGGAAGCAACCAGAGGCCTGCATTTTTGGCTTTTCCACTGCCTCCTTGGTTTGGGCCAAGGATGCTGCTTATAGGTGATGGGGAGGAGAGGGTGAATAGGGAGTGTTATATCGAGCGGCAGGGCCAGTTTGGTTTGGTTTGTTTGAGAGGCTGTGCAAAAATTTCTCCGCTGTTTTTGCAATCTCAAGTAATTTGCCCATCTGGCTTGTACAAATTAAGCACCACAAAATTGGTTGGTTACAGCTTTTCTTCATGTTTTTCAAAACAAATCTAAATTTAGGGAAGTTTTGTTTGGCAATGGAAATGCTTAGTAATTTGGTATTTTTTGCCTAAATTTGCTTGTCATGGTTACTAAATGATTGACGGTTGATGACCAGGTCTCCTACCAAATATCAGTAAAGAATTTTGCATGCAGACAGATGGAGATCGCAGAATTTCTCTCATTTGTTTATGGAAAGATCAGTACTTTCGACCACATGAAAATCAGATCTTCTTTTTTTGGTAAATCATGATCAGTACTTTCCGGCCAGCCACCCCAACAAATGTGAAAAAAATGAACATAATAGTAACAGGTCCAACTTGATGGCCTAGTGGGGGTTTTTATGCCCTTCTCATAATTCTCTTTTTCAACTCTCTGTCATGTTCTGTCCACCCAAAAAAAAGGAAAAGACGAAAATCAACTCTTTGTTTATTGAAAAAGGTTTTTGGTTTGGTTAAACTAGTTCCAATTAAAATTGCTTCTTAGATTATAGATTGTAGGAACCGGATTCATTTGCAAGATGTACCTTTCTGTTTTTGTAATTTAGGACATTTTATTATCCCTTCAAAATTCAAGTACTGATTACATATTTGTGTTTTTCTTTCTACATAAACATCAGCTTACATAAATATAACATCGAACTGCAAAGGATTTGTAGATAATTAAGATCATTTACTCTTGCACTCAAGGTCATGTTCGAATTCACATCCCCCAATCACTTGTGTAAAAAACATAAAATTTAATACTTGTGCATAGAATAACCACATAAAATATGCGATTTGGAACATGGCATCATTGGCCTTTTTGTACACAAAGCAAAAGGCAACCAAGACAATACTTAATGTTCAAAGTTATGACCTTCCCCTTGCAGATTTTAAGTGCAAGCAAAAGGAACTTGGGCCACTTGGCTTGGTTTGACTTTTGGGTTGAGTTTGAACTTAAATCCTTGCAAGTCCAGTCAACTCAGAATCCTCTTGATTATTCTATGTCCATACACATATATCCTACATAAACACATTTGCACGCGTTTTTAGCCATTATTGCAGTCAAAGGCTGCCTTTGGCTTTGGTTCAAGAAGAAGAAGACTCAACAAGAAATGCCCACCAACTCTCTACATAGTCTAAACTTTAGAGCCACCGCAAAACACCAAAACAAAACATAAACATAAACACTTGCTATTTGGGAATACTTTAAAAGAAAGAAAATCAAATGATTCTCCCAGCCAACCACAAGGCACCAACAACGACATCAATTTCTTCTCCTTGTTCTGCTTCCCTTCTTTCCCTTCGCCAGTGAAAGACAAAGACCCTTTTTCTATGGGAACCTCAACCAGAACCTCAAGCTCAGACGCTTTGATCACCACTCTCTCCAACTCAATCCAAGCTCTGGGTCGTGGCTTTGATGTCACTTCCGATACTAGGCTTCTCTACTGCAAAGGGACACCTGGGTCCAGGCTTGTGATTCTTGATGAAGATCAGGCTAAAGATCTTGTTTTGTCTGATGGTGTTGTTGTGCCAAATGTGCCTGTCGATATCGACTGCGTACGTGGCCAGAGGACCACTGAGAAAAATCCTGTCTGCAGCTTCCATGAGGTGCTTTTTGATCCACTTTTGGATTATGGGTTTTTGGTTTATTATGAGTTTAGATTCAAATTCCATGATTTTTTTGGTGTATTTGGGTAACATAGGTTCTTGTTGCTGCTTATGTCACTGCAGAAACTTCAGTTCAGTATTGGGCTTGCTAGGAATTCAGATTTCTTGGTTTTATTTTAGTTGAGTACTAAAAGTTGCTATCTTGGTTTGTTTTAAGCTTTGTAATTCGATGGTGAAGGGTACATGTTGCTTTGCTGGGTTTTCATGGTTTTGGGATTTCATATTTTGTGCCCTGTTGGGCTTTATTCAAGTTTGCTTGTGTCAATTGCTTATATGTGAATCCAGTTATCTTTAGGTACGTCAACACTTGATATGGTTGTTTTCCATGGCATAGTCTGAAAGTTAGAAAAGATCATGTCTTTGTCTTCTTCTGGGCTTCTGAATTGTTTTTCTTCATAGATACTACTTAGTGAGGAAAAAACCTTGAGTATCAGCATTATATGCTAGGTTGTCTTGAATTGTTTGTGATATGCAGAGAATAAATTACTCATCTCTTGCAGAACAATGCACTATGAGCTCGTTAGGCCAAAGTTCTAGTGGATGTTTATCTTCCTTCTTGAGGGTTCAAAACATAAGCAGGTGATAGTAGCAAGTTACAATTGGGAAAATGTTGCATACTTGGACAACAGAGAGATGGCTAAATGAAGAAGAATGGTGTGAATAAGTTATTTGAAATAAACAGTTTGTATAGTTTGCTTAACCAAACCTGTTTAGTTCATTAGAGAATAAAGTTGTCCTGAGATCCTGTGAACATGCTTACACATAAAACTTAAGCTGTTGTGATCTAACAATTTATATTCCAACAGTAACCAAGTTCAGATGTGTATTTTCTTAAATTAGATTTTCCATTTTTGAACTATGTCTTCTGTTTATAGAATCAGTGGTATCTATACCTATGTGGTTACGATTTCATGCATGCATTGGTATTTTGACTTACTTTCTCCTAATTATAGCAAACCATTTTACCTTGTTGTTAGAGTACAATTTTATGATATTATGCCTTTGATCTTGAAACTCCAGATGGCAGAATACTTCAACAAGAAATCAGGAATATCAGGACGCACTCCCCTTGGAAGCTTTAATGCCATGTTTAATTTCACTGGTTCTTGGCAAGTTGATGCAGCAGCAACCAAATCCCTTGCTATGGTTGGATACTTCATTCCACTATACAAAGTTAAATTAGAAAAAGTGAATTTAGTTTTGCACGAGGAAATCAAGCGTGCTGTTCCTTACTCATGGGATCCTGCGGCCTTGGCAAAGTAAGCAACTATATGTGATAGCAAATCAAAATTCAAACCTGAAAATCCTGTCTGTTTTTTTTTTTTCTTTTGTAATTCTAATACTCTCAAATATAAATAATAAAAACAATTATCAATAAAGTTGATAGGCTAATTTCAAATTTGAATAACTCAGTTTCCTATCTATATGTAAAACTAATAGATCTTCCAGAGGACGATCTCACTTGTTGGCAGTGCCTGATTACTTAGTCTAATACCTACTTTGAGTCATAGTATGTTCCTACCTTGATCAATGGGTGATAAATGCAAGTAAGAGCTTTCTGATGACAAATTGATTGATTAATTATCAAAACCTGCACATGATAAATGGAGGCACTTGATCCAAAACATTCTGTACTATGTCCAAACATGAATGTAATGACACTAGTAACTGTTTATTGAAACACAAACTAGGTCTGTTCTAACAAGAAGAACAAGATATGCCATCTTTGGATTATGCTGGGTTGTTCATATGGTTACATCTTTTACTGCATGAATTTAGACATGCTCCCCCAGTAATTGATATTGAATTGATTTTAATTTATAATGCTAAACAACAATATCTGGCGATTCATAACTGCTGAGTGTTTCTTAAATAAGGTAACTAGATCAATTTGATCTGTAAAGCACCAGAATTTTGATAGACAGTTTTCTTCTTCTTCTTTTTTCCTCTTGTTCATTATTCAGTTTTATCGAGAGTTTTGGTACCCATATCGTCACATCTGCAACTATTGGGGGAAGAGATGTGGTCTATATCAGGCAGCACCAGTCATCTCCTTTGTCAACATCGGACATTGAGAATTATGTGAAAGACATTGGTGATCATAGGTTTGTGGACTCAAAAAGCCAGTCAACTCCTGGCCCATTAAAATACAAGGACAAGGTTTGTGTCTTAAGCATTTCACAACATATTTTTCCTTCTTATTTTATTATTTTTTTGGTGTGGTTTTACCAAGGAACTTCAATCATCCAGCTCAAACTTTCCACTCATTCTTGAAATAAATTTTGAGTTGTCACTGTTGATTGCTTATTGTATTTGTGTGTGAAGATCCTTAAACTTTGTTTCTCGTTTCAGGATGTTACAGTCATCTTTAGGAGAAGAGGGGGCGATGATCTTGAGCAGAGTCATGTCAAGTGGGCGGAGACTGTACAACTAGCACCAGATGTGATTAACATGACATTTACACCCATTGTTTCTTTGCTTGAAGGAGTGCCTGGAATAAAGCATTTGAGTCGTGCGATTGAGTTATATCTAGAATGTAAGACCCAATCTAAAACTCACTGTTCTAAAAATGTGGCTTTGAATGCAATCTGATATTAGATATATTATTGTAATTATTAACAATATACGGTTGGTTTGAATTATTATACAGAACCTTGTACTTTGTTACATATTAAAAGTATGCTTACCTTTCATTAAAAAAAAAGTATGCTTACCTACGTGACCCCACTGCCCCTCAAAAAAAAAAAAAAAAAGGGTGGGTAGACTTACCCACCTATGCACTTTTTGGTTGTAGCACTGCCTGGGCAGCTTTGGGTGATGGTGGGCCAGATGGCATGTCATTGGTATTAAGTAGAAAGATTGTGCTTGTTAGAAAGTCTTCAAAGATTTTAAAAACAATGTCTTTCTTGTGAATTTAAACCTTGTCTATTGCTCATTACATACTATTCATTTCTTTATTTTTCTGTTACCTAAACTTGTGAAGTTGTGGAAAGTTTCCCTGACATGCTGATAAGTGGTAACCCAGAAAGAATCTATGAATTGAAATCGCTTCATTCACTATTTTGGGAACAGGGTCTTTTTTAGGTGTTTCTACAACTATGTAGCTCCACCTGTTTGGGCATTACAGGTGTTTTTAACATTTATTATATGTTTGTAATTGTT